CCCCCGCCCGCCCTGGCAAAAAAATAATGACCGGACCGGACCCTTTGCAGGTATTATGCATACATTTCCCGTTTCCAGCTTGGCTTTTGCACATATACTGGTCGGAAAGTCAACAAACTACATTAACGGCAGAAGAGGAAAAAAGGTAAGAAAGAAATAAGAGGAACACACCAGCGAAGTGTGCTTGTGAAGCACTGTTAACAGTTAATAACTTACCCGAAGGCGTACATGTCTGTTGCCATGGTGAACTGTGATGAGTCTGGCGCATCTTGTTGAGTGGTAAGCGAACGAAGGATTTCGGGAGCCAAATATGGAAGCCATCCTTGTGGAATCATCAAAAAACCTGGCCTGACAGATTTGGTTGTCAACCCAGCCACGCTAAACAACCCGAAATCTGTGATCACCACGCGATTGTATGACTCCAGAAATACATTCTTGGAACGAAGGTCAGTGTGAACAATACCTCGCGCATGAAGATAACCCATACCCTGTTGGTAAATAATTAGTAGTATTATTACACATTCAACTCACTATCTCTTTTCTGATTGGCCGAAAATGTACGATGAATTTTCGAAATCAGCGCCTAGGACGTCATCTCGCTGCAGATTATACAATAATCATGTCAAGGACACTCAAGGTCACGGACAATCATGTCATGTATGACCGCGATGCATGATTTCTGAGGATAATCATTTCAAGTTTGTGCGCTTTGTGTTGCTTGCTGATTTGTAAATTTTTTTACACGTTTACAGTCGACGTACAATATACAATAGCGTGTGAAGTTGACGCGTTCAAAGTTATATCTGCAATGAATATTGCATTTATCATGTCAAATTCAAAGTATGCCTAGTTTCCAAGCCCCTTGTCCATGTACGAGTTATCATACTTTTGCAAACTCAGACATGTCTTCTTTCGCAGATTGTTTAAAAGATGTCTAATAACACAATTATTGAATTCAGTTTTCCCATGATATTATTATCAACCTCATGCAATCATAACTTAAGATTAACAGACAGCACGTCACACAAGGATTCAGTGTCTTATTCAATCTTTCTGCGTATTTCCTTACCTGAGAAATCTGAGTACAAATCTGTAAAATTTTATCCAGAGGAAAGCTGTCCTTTCGAACGTGTATATGTGTGTATAGGGAAAACCCACGACACATGCTGCAATCAGAAAACGAGACGCAACGTTTAATAACAGAATGAAAAACAAAACAAAACAAAAAAGCCAACTAAAAAAATAAAAATAATCGAGAGGAACAATCGCTGTAATACACAGCCTCTAGCTCCGCTGTAACTCGGCGGTTGTGTAGCCTAATTCATTCTTACGCAGTCAAAACAGTTTAAATTCATCAAAAGAAACAGAAGAACTGTGTCAAAGAGATCAAGTCACGATAAAAGCTTCCTCTTTCCGCCTCTCTGTCCACTGGTGAACAATGTGTCGGTTGAGTACTGCAGATAGCACTGAGTAACCTTCCGTAGCAAACTTTTACAAGGGAAATTATAGCTAGTTGCAATTGAAAATGTCACTCTCTGCCTACCTGGTTATGATAGCAAGTTTCGGAGGATCCATGCATGCGCCCATGAACAACACCACATTCTCATGACGAGTCTTTCTAAAAGTTCCAACTTGAAACTTAAAGGCATTGAGCTGCTCCTCTGTGGGATTCTCAATCTCGATCATCTTCACAGCCACTTCACCGTGCCAGTGACCCCTGAAGTAAAACAAAGGTAGTAGTGAAAATCACACTACTGTTGTGGGATTTTGGAAAATATTGATCATACGGTCTAACCGTTCGAGTAAGAGAAGTCTTGAAAAGGACTGTAATCGATGACTGTGAACAACTTTTTCAGGCCTTATTTTCACCACTACTCAACTAGTATTCATAACTACGAGGATCGCTTTCATTCGTTTCTTCAACCGCAGTTCCCATATATATATGATTTTCATATATTCACAGTCGTTTATTCACCACTTGGAGGGTTTATTTAGAACCAACATAATGACCACCTCCCAGTTGGCTTGTTAGCTCAGTTGGTAGAGCGCTCCACCGGTATCGCAGAGGTCATAGGTTCAAATCCCGTACGAGTCTGAATTTTTTCAGGCCTTATTTTCACTACTAGTTAAGCAGTATTCATAACTGCGAGGATCGCTTTCATTCGTGTGAAAACCTTTTCGACAACCTGCGCGGTTGTCATCATCAGATTCAAGTGAGGAGTTGTACGTTAGTCTTGTTATTTAAGTCAGGTTTGTGAAAATTGATCTTATTGACTGTAAGACTGTGAAAATGTCCGGCAATAGCGTGGGACTACCAACAGGGATTATTCTCAATATTTGACCGAAACTACGAACTACTTTCCACAACTGACGTTCTCTAAAAGGCTGCTTCTCTAACTTTGAGCTGTCTACTCTTAACAAAAGTCAACAAACTACTGGCGTCGTACAAACGACATTAACACAACCAACAAATCGAAGAAAACAACCTAACTTAACTGAGGGATCTAAACTAACTCACACTTTTTGAGTCTTAAAGCTAGTAATTTCAAGGCCAAATTAACTAATCCTTTTCCACGATGGTGACTACCACTCAGGTTGTCGACGTGTTTGTTAATGCAACTGACAGAGTCCTTTCCATGATTTCTATTAACCGGACGACCAAAGACAAGTTTATTTAAGTAATAGACCGCACCTTCTAACGGTTTACCGGCGTCATAACCCACGTGAGATGTTTGACTTTTCGAGTCTTCTCCAAATTGAGATCTCAAGTAGTTTATTAGAAATAACCAATAGAAAGCGCGGTCTATTTCTTTGATAACATAAAGTTCAATTTTATTTGGGTTTACAGGTGCAATAAACGATAGATTTTGACCAACTAAGGCTCTTGTAGGGTCTCAGTTTTTAGGGAGTTTAAGAAACGACGACTGCGACGCGGTGGACAACGTCAGTTACGAAATGAACTTATATTTAACTTACGAATCTCGCGATACTCTAAAGTAATTTAGTTTGTTACCTACTGTCAAAACTATTTCGAAACCGAGTAGGAACACAGCGTTAAATAAGAAAATAGAAATTTACAAAATTAGTCGTCGCCGTTCACGTTCTCCAGACTACGCAAAGTTTGGTCATTTCACGTTGTTTTGCAGGGAATGCAAAGAAATGTACAAAGATTTATAATTCACGTGCGGAGCCATTGTTCTCCTCATTAAACCTTTTGTTTAGTGACGTTCCCGTTGCCGTCGCCGTCGTTGTTTTTTTCAACTCCCTATTTTATAATCTTAGCCAAGGATCTCCGACTAACCTGTAAACTTTACCAAATCTACCACTGCCCAGTGGACTCCCGGTGATATTCAATTCTTCAAACGGTATCACCCACTCTGACATTAGGCTACCTCGTTGCTGCAATGAAAACAATCCAAGTTGAATGCTTTTATCATTCATTAAGTCATCTCAGACCTTGTGGATAGGCCAGTTCGCACAATAAATTCCTCGTGATCTCTCGGAAACTACTCGGAACCGATTCGAAACCAACATAACACTCCGTTTTCAAAGTCGGAAACGATACTAGGGGCCCATATCTGTTGGAGCCTTTCACTCCTATAGGTGTACGGAACTTTTTCTTACAATATTCCCACATTACCCATATTGAGGTGATGCCAATATATAAATGTTTCAGCTTAGGGTGTTTTTCTTCATCTCGACTAATTTCCAAGGAAATCAGTAGTACATTGTAAGGAGAACTGCTGACAGAGTTGGGGGAGGGGGGAGATGGGGTTTAAGCTGACATAATCTGAAAACTTTGAAAATTTTCAAAACTTCTTAAGTATAGAAACAATTCCAGCTTAATTTTAACTGCAGCAAAGTTTGGATCTCAGGGCCCAGTTGTTCGAAGGTTGATTAGTGCAAACCCAAAGTTAAATTTTAATCTGGGTTCCTTTATTCCTTTATTCAAATGCCTTTTTGGGATAGTTTCCCGTGTTCTTTTTAGAACATCAAATAATCATATTCTAGACAAAAAAATTCGACTGAATTTTCTTTTAAAGCTTTCAGATCTGAAATCAGATTTTACACTAATCTTGGATTATCTTAACCTAGCTTTGAACAACCTGTCCCTACAGATGTTTAATTCAACCACTCTCTTTCCACCACATCAGAGCGGATTTTAAGTCAATCTGTTTCTAATCTTACCCTCTAGAAATAATTTAAACTTAAAATAATAATGATAATAAAAATAACAATAATAATATTAATATTAACAATAATTAAAAGTACTTTTTGTTTGATTTAGTTACTTTCTGAGTTTGAAAAAAAGGGAGAAGTCAGATTTTTATGAATTTCAATTACTCAAGAATCATTTACTCACATGTAAGTCCAGGAGCATGTCCTTTTTATTAACCTTTCGTTAAAAACGCATATAAATTATCAGTCAGTGAAACGTGCAAGATCTTACATTTAGCTTCATTCTTTTAAAAGCTTCAGTGATGCACGTACATGCAAAGATTAACTCATGTCAGCTGATGTTGAATGTCAGTATCGCTAGAGTAATTCAATCAGAAGAGGGTGACATGTAATTAATGGCTCATTATGGAGACGAATGTTATCTTTTCATGTGTATATATTATACAGTGTAATTATGGTTATATGAATTTCACACGCCAAAAGGTCTAGATAACAGCAAAGATGTCTCGAATTTAAGAAAATATACGACATTTTTTAAAAACGTGATCGCTTGGTCAGTGATAGGACCTCTCACATTTTCAGACATTTACAAAATTCTCCCCAATGTCGCACTCTATGTTTTGATGAGTGTTTCAGCATCTTAGATCTCCCTTCCATAACTCCCCAACCTAAAGTCAAAAAAGCTATTCACTTTCAATGGGAGCAACCTACACTTAATCATCAACTTCATCGTGTTAATTTAGAACTTTCCTTGTAATTGCAAACATTGTTTTGTTTCTATTGTTTGTTTTGTCAGATGAGCATTTTGTTATACACTTGAGATTCAACTTTGTACTTTGTATAAACCAGAAACATTTTTTTTTGAAAAATGTCGTATATTTTTCTAAATTGTACACGTAGTTTGATTGGTTCTTACTAATGATGTATAGGAGGAAAAACGCATAGTTGACGTCACCATTAAGCAAATTTTTACTTTTAAACATATAAAAGCAATATTTTCCATATTGCTATGAGTCTGTAGAGTTTGTCATTTAAGACGTCTAGATGTGGTAAGAACATCAGTGACACACTCAGCCGTGCCTTGTGTACCACTGGTTTGTTCTTACCACATTTTAACGTCACCTGTGATCTATTACTGAACAAACGCTCGGCAACATGGGATATATTTGTTAATTTGAACCCAGGAAGAACTATTGATCGTGCAGTCTTATGATCTATTTTGACCCTGATGACGATCGTAACACTTGCACTTGTAATGATTCTTTCAAGCTGTTGAAATATCGTTCCCTGTCACCAACAACGGCATTTTTTGAAAACACTCTCGCAACAACACAATCGCAAATTTTAAACCTAAACAGCGCAAGAAAGATATGACTGACAATTAAGTTATGTTTAGATTGATCGATTGAGATGTGCATTTAGATTGTTACATGAAAACGATTAAAAAAACGAGAAACAAATGCAATTTAGGTACATGCATTTATGTCAATTAATGTTGTTAACAATGTTTCACAGGCTGTACTTTTGAGAAGGAATGGCTAAGCACTTCCAAACAATCCTTCACAACACTTATGACGGCTTACAAATGCATTATAGTGAACGTTTTATTAATAATTCAGGTATAAGATTATTTCATTGTATCAGATATACCAGTTTTCGAGAGTCACAGAATAATTTTCACACATGTCGAAACTTTTATGAGAAATTCAAATTAACATTACCACTCGGCTACGGTTCCAAGTCTTGCTCTCAGGGTCCACATCAGAGATCTGACTGTCCAACGAGTCAATGCCCGGGACATCCTCTCCAGACAAAGTCTGTAAAATAGTAACACACAGCATCGTTTTGGTTTGTTTGTGACAAAAAAAAAAACAATATGTTGCACAATCTTTCTTTCAAATTTTCATATTTTGTTGCGACATCCAACGCTTGCATTTGATTGGCTATCTGTGAGTTTCTTTGATTATTGACCAATCAGAATGTCTGATTTGTTTCTTTCTTTGCACTGAATTAACCCTCTTCTGCACTGAATTAACTCTCTTCTGCACTGAATTACCTGAAAACTGCATTTATCTTAACCAATCAGAACTGAGTAATTTTTCCATGTATATTATTAACGTCGTAAAATGTATATGTTAACGTGCATTAAAAAAAAAAAGAGGAGGACATTCATTCAGGGGACAAAAAATTTTCCTACGTGAAGACCTCTGTCAGAGAAAAAGAAAAGAAACCTTTCCGAATGTGACCACAAAATAGCCGCCTAAATTCTACTGCAACCACGGCGTTTGAATCTCTGACACAAGTTTTGAGGCGCTTTCGTCGGGAAATTCTCTTTGCCAAAAAAAACAAAACCAAAACAAAAAGCGAAAACCTCATTTGCAAACACTTTCATTGCATATCGACAAAGTTGATGAAAGTGAAGTCTCTCCTAGTTAATTCAGTGATCAGATGACGACCACCAAGTTCAAGAACTGTTCATCCGAAGAACTACTGAAGCGGTACCGTACACTCTGGATATCATAATTATGTTGAATATACAGTGTAGAAGTGTACATGTAAACGTAAAACTGCATATAAACTGTCATACGGCCCCATTACAAGTAACTCAAGACAAGCTTCTAAATACCTTCTTGTTAGAGTATTGTGATAAATAACTTACCGAGTCATTACTAGTTGTGGTGTTGTTGCTCTGCCGTGACTTAACACTTTCAGTCCTTACCAAGGTGCTCGTTGACTCAATCATCTCGTTACTGAAATAGTGCAAATCAATTTTTTCTTACTTGGAAAATTCAATTATTGAGGGAATTAAAAAAAACAATGAATCACACAAACGAACCCCACAACAATGTAACACTTAATGCGCAGTACCTGTGCAAGGAAGCTGTCATTCTTGAAACATCTAAAAATTAAGAAAAAAATCAATGTTACCACTACGTTGTAGCCAAAGTTTACCATAATCTGACTAAACGAAGGGCCAATAAGGTGTTTTATTTACCAGTGAAAGAGAAGTGCGACTCTGGAAACTGGTCAAGTTCTTCTTGTGCAGACAGACTAACATTAGCTGATGCCGCCGGAAGAGGCGAAGAAGGTGGTGATGAGGTTGATGATGACGTGGAACAGGAGTCAACTCCTTTTGGTGTTTCGTTTGGAACAGGTGTCCAAGATTTCGGGTCTACTGTATGCAGATCACCATGGCTACGATTCTGGTTGAATCTCTGCTCGGGTAGATCTACTTGAAGGGCGATGCTCGATGGTTCAGAGTTTGTTCTCTTCACATGAGACCGCGTCATGGGTAAAGAACGGTAATTTAAAGCTGTTTGCACCAAAAAAATAATATCAATTTTGTTAGATTTCTATTTGACCAATACCATTCTAAATTAGGAAAGGGCTAAGAACAGACCAAGAAATGTGTTTTGTTTCTGGTGAAAAACTTCACCGTCTAAACACATGAACAGTCCCGATCCTCTGCAATGAAACAAACTGTATATTCTGGTCTCATAATTTACTTAAGGTGGTTTCTCAGTATTGCACTGCACATCCTGCACTGCACATAAAAATCACGTAATCTGGGGAATGAGCGCGCGCGCACCCCGAGAACACGGTATTGTATTTCAATACATGGACCAAGCAAAGAGGTGCGATGGTCTTTGGCTCGTGAACGAGCAAGTTGATCTACGTTTTTCATTGCATAATTTTGGTGTACAAATTATCCCCTTCAAATTAGAGAAAGAAAAAAAATCATCGAAGGGAAAAAAGGATATCATTGGTTAAAAGCATTCACGAAGCCCGTCATTCGATGATGCAAATAACCTTAAAAACAACGACTCAAGCAACGTTTTGAGTCGATGTCGTTTGAAATTGCGTAATTTTTCCACAAATTGTATAACAAATTGTTCCATACGCTCGAGAATTGCTGCCTATCAAGGTTTTTGTAATTGTTACCCTAAATACGAGCTTCCAGCTACCGCAAAATGTACCAGGAACCCATTAAATGACGCGCTGATTAACGCCAGTAAAGGCATAACGGGGTAAGTTTGTCCAGTCATATCTCTTAAACTAGCACGGAGACCTATCTTTTCTTATTGTATTTTTCGAAACAGTCAGTGGTAGGAAACATGTAAGAAAAGTTTGAAAAAATTGTTCGACAACTTCTTTTTTTGAGGAATCACCTTAACCGCGCTACGAAATTTTACATTCCATATTCAACAATGTACCAAGCGGCTTCGACATTCAGCACCCAACTTACTTACAGCACATCTTATTTTATTAATATTTCTTGCCATGAATAGAAAACAACATATAGTTCGTGGCCTGATAAGGAGAACTCACCTCGTCGCACTTGAGCAGTGAAAAAGTCACTACACCCTTTAGGGAGCCCACAGGAAGCAGTGGCCTTTTTTGCACATTTCTTGTGAAATTTGAGCCTTCAAAGTGAGAAAGAAGTAACAGAAAGAAGTAACAGCTTAACAAAGTGAACTATTTCACATTTTACTTTTGACTGGGATAATAATTATACACACAATTACTTGAATGGAAAATGATAAATAAACAAATAAATAAATTACCTGAAAAAGAAAACAAAAAGAAAAAAAATTTTTTCATACTCACTTGCAGTATTTGCATTTTACACCAACCAAAAGAAGTTTATGGCAGTGATCACAAGCCAGACTAACCATAAATGCCTTTTGTGAAAACCTGATCAGAAAGGAAGAAAATATGCTATAATCTGTCACACTGAGAACATTGGTGAAAATACATGTATCAGCTGTATCACACCCTGATATCAGTATGTATATTCTCCCTATTGCTCTCTCTACATTTACAAAGGTGCTGACAAGAAGAAGGAGAATTTGTTTAACAATCCAGAGCTTCCTTAGTTAGCAATCATTAATTTTATTCTTTTAACCTTAATGCGTGATTCAGGGCTGATATTGTAGGGAGAAAATAGATGCTAGTCACTCTTTTAAGAGTCAAAAGGTTTATTGAAGGACTCATACCTTAGGCACTCAGTAGGAGACGTGACTTTAAGCTGTTGAGTATTGTTGGTTTACAGCTCTCAGTGCTTGCTTAAAATGTACTCTTTGCATATTCTGCTTTTAAGGACTAATTGAAAAGCATGCAAAAACCTTGTAAAAGAGGCATAGCATTTTTCATTTCCTTGTCAAATGCTTTCCAGATGCCTTTCAACTGGGTAAAAAAATTTTGAAGTGAAATACTTCCTGCACCTTTCAGAATTGTATGAAGAATATGTCTGGATTTTACCATCATGGCTGCCTGAGTGCATACAAATATGTATCTGGTTAATCCTCAACATTCCAACATCAGTATGCATATTCTTCATACTATTTTCTATACATTTCCTAAGGTGCTGACAAGGAGAATTTGTTCAATAATCAAGAGCTGTTTTAGATGGTAATCATTTTCTTTTAATCTCTTGACCCTAATCTTTGATTCAGGGCTGATATTGTAAGGAAAAGTGAGATGCTAGTTTCTCTTTGGGTTCAAAAGGATAATAGATATTTTGTTTACCTGTGACTGATTGTATGTCCCATCCCATAGTGAGTAATCCTTGATGGAGAATTATTTATTGCATGGGAACCTGGTGGATGATGAATATCACAGATTAACTAACACTGTGGTGACAACTTCAACATGAAGACACCTTGTTTATGGCCATAGATTGGCTAACAGGTTACACAGTTACATGTAGTACAAGACTGTATGTTTGGTGCATGAAGACTTTACACCCTAACATAAGAATGCATATTTTCCATACTATTCTTTATGCATTTTCTAAGACTCTTACAATTTGTTTTTCTATTAGGGGAGGGGAGGGTGGAAGGGTACATATCCTCAGAAAGTGAGAGAAAATGAAGTTACTAAGATGTACATTCATTTGTAGCACAAATTTTCACTGTTGGAAAGTTCTAAAAGCAACTACAAAGGAAAAAGGAGTAAAATATCTTAAGAAGAGTAACAGTAAGTTTAAAGGAACTTAACTAAAGCAGCAGTTTGCTATCTCAAAATCAACAGTTAAAATTAGGAACTTTCAATGTATATGCCTAAGAATTATAGTTTCAGTAAGAGCCCGAGATTTAATTTGTTTGCCCAAGTCTTATGCTCAATAAGACTTTGGCGTAGTGTAGAGGCTTTGCTATTGATAACCAAACAAGCATTCAAACAAAACTTGTCCACTGGTGAGTACAACTACATTTAAATACCATGATAATAACTCATGCTGATGAACTTACTTAGATTATGATCTGACTCAGAATCAGACTGGGAATGTAGTGAGATGTCTCCACTTCTACTTTTAGGAATATTAATTGTGAGAGGAGTGACAGGTTCCAGCTTTCCTCCTCGTTTTTTACCACAATTCAAATAAGGATTCTCATTATTGTTCACAAATATTCTGTTCCCTGTGAAATAAAATTAGATAAAATTACCATTAAGAGGGAAGTATTATTTCAGTCCTAAAAGTCTACCATGTATTAGAGACTAGAAGAAACAGTGGTGGGGATAACTTGTCTCTAGCAAAGTGAAAGGCTATTAAAAATTGATTGCCAATGAGGGAATCATTAGGAAACTACAGAGCCTTGTGGAGGGATCAAGTAAATTTTGTCCTCATACAACCAAAATTGTCTTGGACC